AACTCATGAATTCTAACTGATTAACTAAATCCCCATGCCAAGTGTATTAGGAACAAAAATTCTAGAACTGCAAGCACTATCTCAACCAATTTTGATTATTCACACTATCATTGCCTACCTTTCTACCCATTTACACTGTAACAGCAGCAATAGCTGACATGGTGGAAGTGACTAAGTTGGCCTTCCCACAATTGGCAGGCCAAGCCTAAGGCACAGGGTGGTAGGAGAGGGGAATTTAACCAGGATTGCAGGTGAAACTTGAAACTGTGGAAACCGAGGTGTCTATCACTGGTTCATCTAATCCAAGCCCTGCCAAAGAAACCATGGAACAGGAGCAAAGACAAGACACTTGCCTTGTTAAATCTTGGATTTTATATGAACAAGATGTTTCTGATGACCAAGTGAAAGCTCAGTTTGTGCAAAATCCACAGACTCCATTGCCAAGATATGTATTTCCTGGCTGTGAATATAAAGATAAATCTAAGATTTCAACCCAAATGGTTCGACTACTTATGTCATACACAAGGTGCATTCTATAAGTACTGTGCAGTGTTTGGAGGAGAAGTAAAGGGTAAAGATGCTCATCAGAAACATGGTGTGTTGGTTACCAAACCATTTCTGCGATGGAAAAATGCAATAGAAGTCTTCAATAGACACCACAAAACAGAGTACCACCAGAACAGCTTGTGCTTGACTTAAAACTTCTTGCTAATTCACTGTGGAAAATGTCTTGATGTAACCCGTCATTGTTATAAAGGAAATAAGAAGAAAGCAGAAGAAAACTATTACTTCACTATTACCTGTGAAAAATCTTTGCACAGGGCATTGTTGAAATCTTGTGCCAGATCAGGAAACACTTGAAAAGTCTGACTGGCCTGAAAAGTCATCGGGGGGGGGGGGGGGGGGGGGGGGGGGGGGATTTCAAACCCACCCATATTTTTTCTGGCTACTGGCCTAATATAATACAATATCATAATAAATAATAATATGACAATTGTATAGTATATACTGCATATAAGATTACTAGTAATATTGCAGCAGAATGTGCTATTATTTTTTATGTAGATGTGGATTTGTTTTTGGAATTTGAGGGCTGATTATTTCTGTCTTTGTTCAGCTTCTCGTGGCATTGGATATTTGCCGATATCTGTTGTAAACCGCCCTGAGTCCCCTTGGGGATATAGGGCAGGATATAAATAAAGTTTTTATCATTCTTATTATTCCAAATGGTTATAATAAATAAATAACTTTGTGTTGTCAAAGGCTTGCTGCAAGTTTTCTGGGCTATATGGCCATGTTCCAGAAGCATTCTCTCCTGACGTTTCACCCATATCTATGGCAGACATCCTCTGAGGTCGTGAAGTCTGTTGGAAACTAGGCAAGTGAGGTTTACATCTGTGAAATGTCCAGGATGGGAGAAAGAACTCTTGTCTGCCTGAGGCAAGTGCGAATGTTGCAACTGGTCACATTGATTAGCATTTCATGACCTTTCAGCTTCAAAGCCTGGCTGCTTCCTGCCTGGGGGAATCCTTTTTTGGGAGGTGTTAGCTAGCCCTGATTGTTTCATGCCTGGAATTCCCCTGTTTTCTGAGAGTTGTTCTTTATTTACTGTCTTGATTTTAGAGTTTTTTAAATACTGGTAGCCAGATTTTGTTCATTTTCATGGTTTCATCCTTTCTGTTGAAATTGTCCACATGCTTGTGGATTTCAATGGCTTCTCTATGTAGACTGACATGGTACTTGTTAGAGTGGTCCAGCATTCTCAAACAATATGCTGTGTCCAGATTGGTTCATCAGGTGCTCTGCTATGGCAGACTGGTTGAATCAGTCTGCAGTGCATTTCATGTTCTTTGATTCGTGTTTGGGCAAAGCTGCATTTGGTGGTCCCTATGTAGACGTCCACTGCTGCATGGTATACGGTAGACTCCTGCAGAGATGAGAGGATTCCTCTTTGCTGAACATAGCATCTGCTGGATTTTCTTAGTGGGCCTGTAAATAGTCAGACCATGTCAGGCTACACAGAGAAGCCATTAAAATCCCAAGCATGTGGACAATTTCAACAGAAAGGGGGAAACCATGAAAATGAACAAAATCTGGCTACCAGTATTTTTAAAAAAACAACTCTAAAATCATAAAGGTAAATAAAGCACAACACTCAAAAACAGGGACATTCCAGGTATGAAACAATCAGGGCCAACTAACACCTCCCAACAAAGGATTCCCCCAGGCAGGAAGCAGCCAGGCTTTGAAGCTCAAAGGCCACTGAATGCTAATCAAGGCGGCCAGTTGCAACATTCACACTTGCCTCCGGCAGATAAGAATTCTTTCTCTCACCCTGGACATTCCACAATATATAAACACCACTTGACTAGTTTCCAACAGACCTCACAACCTCTGAGAATGCCTGCCATAGATGTGGGCGAAACGTCAGGAGAGAATGCTTCTGGAGCATGATCATACAGCCTGGAAAACTCACAGCAACCCAATTAATAACTTTATTTATATTCCATCCTATCTCCCTGAGGGGGCTCATTATTTATTTCTTTATTTATTTAAACTTTGATATCCCGATCTTCTCTACCTCTGCAGAGGGACTCAGACCGGCTAACAGAAAGATTCAGTGCTAACATTGAAAATCTAAAACATAATACACAACATTAAGTTACCAATTACATTACATAAATTACATAAAAGCCGTTCACCAGGATAAAATCGTGTCCAACTCAGTTCATATGTCCAGTCCATATATTGTGATGAGTACCATTAGTCGATTGCTGGTCTCAGACGTCATTCCACAAAAGCTTTGTTGCACAGCCAGGTTTTCCCTAGCTTCCTAAAGGTCAGGAGGGAGGGGGCAGATCTAATTTCATTTGGGAGGGAATTCCATAGCCAAGGGGCCACCACAGAAAAGGCCCTGTCTCTCGTCCCCACCAGACATGCCTGCAAAGATGGCGGGACCGAGAGCAGGGCCTCTCCAGACGATCTTAGCACTCTTGATGGTTCATAAGGGAGAAAAACTGAATGCCATTTTCCAAAAATTCACATCTATATAAATAAAAATGTAATGTTCGTTTGTGGGATTAACAGAACTCAATCTCACAAACGAAATGTAATCTTCGTTTGTGGGATTAACAGAATTTGGGTTGTTAGGTGTCTTGGACACAAGACACCTAACAACCCAAATGTATGTCCTTCACTCAAAAAAAATTGGTTTTGTCATTTGGGAGTTGTAGTTGCTGGGATTTATAGTTCACCTACAATCAAAGAGCCTTTTGGGCTCCACCAACGATGGAATTGAACCAAACTTGTCACACACAACTCCCATGACCAACATAAAATACTGGAAGGGTTTGGTGGGCAGTGTCCTTTGATTTTGGAGTTGTAGTTCATTTACATCCAGAGAACACTGTGTACTCAAACAATGATGGATCTGGACCAAACTCTTCACGAATACTCAATATGCCCAAATGTGAATACTGGTAGAGTTTGGGGGAAATAGACCTTGACATTTGGGAGTTGTAGTTGCTGGGATTTATAGTTCACCTACAATCAAAGAACATTCTGAACCCCACCAATGATGGAATTGAACCAAACTTGGCGCACTACAGTTCTCCCATGACCAACAGAAAATACTGAAGGGTTTGGAGGGCATTGACCTTGAGTTTTGGAGTTGTAGTTCACCTACATCCAGAGAGCATTGTGGACTCAAACTATGATGGATCTGGGGGAGGATTTTGATTCGGGGGTGGGGGGGGCTGAGTCTGAGTGAAAGAGGGTCTACCCTAGCAAACCTTTTGTATCGTTACCCCAATACTCCCCATGCATATGGGATATATTGAGCATGGTGATCAGATCATGATATGAATAAACATAACAGTTTAAATAATGTACCAGTAAGGCCTTCTCGCGGACCACCATGATAATTTCAGAGGGGGGGGGCTGAAGGTGCTCCCCCCCCCCCCCCCCGCTACATGCCTGGATCTGGACCAAACTCTACACAAATACTCAATATACCCAAATGTTAACACTGGTAGAGTTTGAGGAAAATAGAATCTTGACATTCAGGATTTATTTATTTATTTATTGGCATTTATATGACGCCCTTCTCACCCCGAAGGGGACTCAGAGCGGTTTACAATATGTATTTTCATACAATATATTATATTATTAGCATAGTACAATATCAGTATATATTACTATATTGCACTATACCATTGTATTGTAATAATATTAGTAATATTAGATGTAATTAAATATATAATTATAATTATAATATTGAATTATTATTACTAGTATTATATTGTATTACATTATAATATTATAAATATTATATGTATATACAATATACTATATTATATTATTAGTAAAGACAAGATGGAAATGTCTTCTGCTCCCCTCTGTCTTCAGGAGTTGTAGTTGCTAGGATTTATAGTTCACCTACAATCACAGACCATTCTGAATCCCATCAACGATAGAATTGGGCCAAACCTCCCACACAGAACCCCCCATGTGGGCCACAGCAACGCGTGGCAGGGGACAGCTAGTATACAAATATACTAACATTATAAAATGTACAAATATAGTACCCCTGTTGTACAAAACAAGCACCACGAGGCTCCTAAACTTTCCTTATGCTATCCAAAGCTCAGAGTGAGAGAAAGAGAGAGCGGGATGGAGTGAAGACTTACAAAATGTGCCCGATCCGACTTACATACAAACTCAACTTAAAAACAAACCCCGTTCGTAACTTGGGGACTGACTGCTTGCCTGCCTGCACATAAGCATCACCTACATCTCTCAGTGACGGGAAGCAATCCAGGCAAGCGGGCCTGAGGGGAGAAAAGCTGGCTGGCGACGAAGAGGGAGAGAGTGAGGAAAGGGGAGCGAAGGGGGCGTGAGGCGAGCGGTTCTAATCAGGCATCCTTTTCCTCACCAGCGAAAAGACAATGACAACAGCGAGGCCCTTTCCCTCCCTCAGCAACCCCCTCAGCGAGACTCACCCTCGGCCCTGGAGCGCAGCTCGGACACTGTTTTCTGCACCGCCGGCATGTCGCCTCAGCGAGAAGCGCCCTCAGCCGGGAAGGGAACCTCTCCCACTGAGGTTCCACCCCAAAAAAGAAAAAAAAAACCCAACAAGAAGAGAAATTATCCAAATTGTGGGGCCTCAGAGGCGCGCGACGCAGTCACCCTCCTCACCGCCCTTTGGGCCAACTGACAGCCGGCGCACGAGCTCCAGCGAGACTCTCGCGCGCTCCTCCTCCTCCTCTCCTCACCCCTCCCTTCGCCTGTCCCCGTCCGATCTTCCCTCCGCAGCCAACCTGGACTGTACCAACTGTCTTCCCCCTCTTGCCACATATCTTTCCAAGCCCCGAGGTTTTCTCTTTGATTTTTTAAACATACATATATTACAAAACCTAATGCGATGGAATTAAAACGGATGTTTTGGCTTTCTTTTACAGAGCGATGCCCTAAATGTTATAATCCCCCCCTCCCGGAGTAATGGAACATGCCACGTCTGGGCAAGCGATAGGAGGCGGGAAATGGCATTGTCATGCAGCCTCGAGGCGGGAGGAAGGCTAGGAAGCCCATTCTGAGGGAGGCTGCCTCCAGAGCCACTTCGGCTCGCCTGAGGGAATGTCTGTCGCAGGCCCTTTCCACAACTGAATAAAGTCTCACATTAGCTTCTTTGAACTGGAATATATGGCAGTGTGGACTCAGGACCCTTCCACACAGCCCTATATCCCAGAATATCAAGGCAGAAAATCCTACAATATCTGCTTTGAACAGGAATATATGGCAGTGTGGACTCAGGACCCTTCCACACAGCCCTATATCCCAGAATATCAAGCCAGAAAATCCCACAATATCTGCTTTGAATTGGAATATATGGCAGTGTGGACTCAGGACCCTTCCACACAGCCCTATATCCCAGAATATCAAGCCAGAAAATCCCACAATATCTGCTTTGAATTGGAATATATGGCAGTGTGGACTCAGGACCCTTCCACACAGCCCTATATCCCAGAATATCAAGCCAGAAAATCCCACAATATCTGCTTTGAACTGGAATATATGGCAGTGTGGACTCAGGACCCTTCCACACAGCCCTATATCCCAGAATATCAAGGCAGAAAATCCTACAATATCTGCTTTGAACAGGAATATATGGCAGTGTGGACTCAGGACCCTTCCACACAGCCCTATATCCCAGAATATCAAGCCAGAAAATCCCACAATATCTGCTTTGAATTGGAATATATGGCAGTGTGGACTCAGGACCCTTCCACACAGCCCTATATCCCAGAATATCAAGGCAGAAAATCCCACAATATCTGCTTTGAACTGGAATATATGGCAGTGTGGACTCAGGACCCTTCCACACAGCCCTATATCCCAGAATATCAAGGCAGAAAATCCCACAATATCTGTTTTGAATTGGGATATATGGCAGTGTTAACTCATGGCCTTTCCACACAGCCATATAATCCAGAATACCAATTGCAGAAAATCCCACTATCTGCTTTGAACTGGGATATATGGCAGTGGGGATCACTGGGCGCCCTTCCACACAGCCCTATGTCACAGAATATCAATGCAGAAAATCCCAGGTTATCTGCTTTGAACGGGAATATATGGCAGTGTGGACTCAGGACCCTTCCACATAGCCCTATATCCCAGAATATCAAGGCAGAAAATCCCATCATATCTGCTTTGAACAGGAATATATGGCAGTGTGGACTCAGGGCCCTTTCACACAGCCATATAACCCAGAATATCAAGGCAGAAAATCCCACAATATCTGCTTTGAACTGGGTTATCTGAGTACACACTCAGATAATGTGGGATTTTCTGCCTTGATATTCTGGGATATAGGGCTGTGTAGAAGGGCCTTGAGTCCACACTGCCATATATTCCAGTTCAAAGCAACAAACGGGATTTTATTCACTGTTGTAAGGGCCTGTGACATTCCCTTGCCTCATCTGGGCTTTGTGCCTATGCCTTCATGCCCTAAAGCTGACAGTGGGTTTTTTCCCCTTTCCAATGCTATCTGAGGCCCCTTCCACACAACTGAATAAAATTCCACAATATCTGCTTTGAACGGAAATATATGGCAGTGTGGACCCATAACCGCGTTCAAAACAGATATTGTGGGATTTTCTGCTTTGATATTCTGGGTTATATGGCTATGTGGAAGGGCTCTGAGGTCCCTTCCAGCTGAATAAAATCCCACATTATCTGCTTTGAACTGGGGTATATGGCAGTGTGGACTCAGTCCCCTTCTACATAGCCATATAATACAGAATATCAAAGCAGAAAATCCCACAATATGTGCTTTGGGCTGAGAGAAGAAACGCAAAAAGGAGAGGCATAAAATATTGAAAATTACATACTTAAATCTCATACATGTGTAATACTAGGATACTTATATATTTGTCAATTTCTATTCATATATGAGCTTGTTTACTTCACAGAACGATGCAAAGGTCATCTCACCCTTATGTGTGTATATATGCAAATGTCTGCTAAATATATGCAATGTTAAAATTAATATTTCAACATCTCAAGTTTTACCTTTGTTAATTAGACAGTTGAATTCCACAGGTGTCAAAGACACAATAAGTAGAATTCAAAGAAGCAGCCCCATCTACAGTGCCATATAATGCAGTTTGAAACTGCATTATATGGTCAGTATAGATTCATATAATACAGTTTAACTCAATCAAACTCAATGGTTTGTATAGATTCATATAAGGCAGTTTAACACAATTGAATTATATAACTCTACATTGACCATATAGTGCCTACATTTCTTGTAGCATCAGGCCCGTAGCCAGGATTTCGATTTGGGGGGGGGGTTTTTTCAGGGGGGGATTCAGGGGGAGGAGGAGCTGAGTCTGAGTGAAAGAGGGTCTACCCTAGCAAACCTTTTGTATCGTTACCCCAATACCCCCATGCATATGGGATATATTGAGTATGGTGATCAGATCATGATATGAATAAACATAACAGTTTAAATAATGCACCAGTAAGGCCTTTTCGTGAACCACCATGAGAATTTCGGGGGGGGGGGGGCTACATGCCTGTGTAGCATGAAAAAAGAAAGAATGGGAGGGAGTGGAGAGAGAAAAAGATGTGGCAATATGTTTAAGATTAATTGGTTTTTATTTTTGTGTGTGTTTTTCTGTATATAAACTCACTTCTTTGCATGCATGGCACACTGATTCTTAACAGTACATTCAACATAATACATAGAATGTAAAGTATGGAACGAAATTTCATGAGTATGACATCTCCTATATCACTGCAGAAAGTGATTTAATTAATATTTTAAATAGATGACAGAAGCTTAAATGTTATCCTCTATGAAAAATTGGTGTGTCTTATCTGCATATCCAGTCATTTTCTCCTCAAGTCTGAAAAACTGTGGCCATTTACATTAAATTATGGGACAGGCTGTTCAAGCTTTTATCAATTTGGTATTAGATTTGTGAAACTGTTCTGGTCAAACGTGGAATTTCTACCTTTTCAGCAACCAACTATGAAGCTTTCCATAGTGATCAGACACTGTGGTTATTATGAGTGAAGGCTTTCCCTGATCCCCACCACTTTGATACCAACTCTGGAAACTGCATAAATGCCCCCAAGGCACCTGCGGGGATTGATCTTCTATACTCAATGGATTTTGTTATGTGTCTTCAAGCCATTTCCAACCTATGGCAACTCTAAGGCAGCCCTATCATGGGGTTTTCTTGAAAAGATTATTATTTTTATTATTTATCCCAACTTCGATCTCCCGATGAAGACACAAAGCACCTCACAATATTTTTTAAAAATGCAGTTTAAGACACATAACATATAAGCATTAAAGGAGAAGGAAACCTCCAATTATTAAAACATGTCAGTAAAAAAGAACTTAAGTAAAAACTATTACAATAATTAAAAAACCATACACCAACCCCAACTCATTCTTAAAAATGTTCTGCTTTAAAGGCTTGCATAAAAAAGAAGGTTTTAGCCTGCTGTCAGAAGGACAACAACTCTTCTGGGAAATGAATTCTAGATCCCAGGGGCAGCCACCAAGAAGGTCCACCAATCATGCTTGTTGAGAAGAGATTTGCCATTGCCTCCCTCTGAGGCTGAGAGAATGTGACCTGCCCAAGATCACCCAGTGAGTCTCAGGAATTTGAACACTCAAACCATTCGCAACGTTTGTGGCACAAGGCAAACCAGTTGCTAAGATAAGGTTGAAACCACAACACAACAGTGACCCATACACCCTTCTGTAACAAACCATTTGGAGCCCCCGGTGGTGCAATGGGTTAAACCCTTGTGCCAGCAGGACTGCTGACCAAAAGGTCAGCAGTTCAAATCCGGGGAGCAGAGTGAGCTCCCATCTGTCAGCTTCAACTTCTCATGCATGGACCTGAGAGAAGCCTCCCACAGGATGGTAAAACAATCGGGCATCTCCTGGGCAACGTCCTTGCAGACGGCCAATTCTCTCACACCAGAAGCAACTTGCAGTTTCTTGAGTCACTCCTGACACATACACACAAAAAACCATTTCACTTGTTCATGCATGAATAACTGGGAGAGGCCAGTGGGTGCTGATGTAAAAACTGGGGCCTGGTCACTATTCAGTTGCTTTTTTCTTTCACAACACAGATCCAGTAGCTCAGGGAATCTCATCTTGCATTCACATACTCGAAGTAGCAGTCGTGATCCTTAAAAAGCAAGACTATAGTTTGGGCTTCCCATGAACAGATTGCCCTTGTTGAGAAAAGGTGTTGTTCCAGAACTTCTCCATCTGTGCTACCAACGGTTTGAAGCTGATGTCACATACCCTAAACCATATTACCTTCATTGATGTGGATCTTCTCAACCCAGTCAAGGTTTTGCTTGACCTGCCAGTACCTCCAGATTCTTCATCACTGCCTAGAAGTGCTGGAAACTGTGCTACAAACAAGAGATTATTTCATCTGGACTTAAATCAGTAGATGTTAGTTCTTACTATCTGGATAAAAGGTAAGAGAGTCATAGAGTAATAAATGCCACGCTTTTGGTTTGGTGCACAGTCACATAGATCTCTGGTGCTTCTGAGATTTTAAAACAGCAGAAGGCAAATCCTTCAACATTTGGCCCACATCCAGAAATTATTGGAAGCTTTGATGCTTCCCAAGCAGCTGGCAGTCATCCACTGCTGAGCTCACACTAAAGAAAAAACTCCCGAGGCCAGAAGGGAAGCCTTTGCAGATGCTGCTG